CTTCCTGGAGGACGGTCGTGCCGCGGGGGGCTCCCTGGGAGTCCCCCCCACCGCGATCGCCGGCGTGGGACCGCCAGCGACCGGGTAAGTACAGAAAGACCGGAGGGCGTACTATTACGCCCGGCGGCGTTTAGAGCCGCCTATTAGAGGACGTAATAGTACGCCCTCCGGTCTTAAGGGGTTAAATGCATCACAGCATAAAAGCACAACTGCATAATGTACTACAGTAAAACAGCAAATAAAGTAATGAAGATAAAACAACATACACGTCCGTACGTAAAGGGAGCAAATTGCTCACGTCCTAAGGGCTGTAGGACAGGAAAAAGACTGAGGACCTTAGGGATGGAGCCTCCTTTTAAAACCTTGGTGGTTTTCCTGTCCTATCGGCTGTAGGGGAGGAGCTAACCCATGTGTATATGCTGCCATGATTAGCCAGGAAAATGAAACTTAAGGGCAAGGAACAGTTATCAAATTCTTTTTTCCCCCCGTAGATTATTATCCTATTCCTATGTAAAAATTATATTAAGGGGATGATACAGTGTCCCTTAACTACATTATGTTGTTTTTGTGATATGGGGTCTTTTTCTATAGTCTAAAACATTAATTACAATTTGAAGAGGAATAATTGAAAAAGAGGGAAGAGAAGGACTAGGGAGTAAAGAGGAATATGAAATAAACAAGAGGGGAAGGAAAACAAGAGATATGAAATAGATGTTTCCACTGATAAAGTTAAAAGAGTTAGATACTCTTCACATTTCACTTAGTTAATTAAACACTTTATATAAAATCCTTAATTTATATTAAAAGCTAATCAATTCACATATTCACAAAGATAGTTGGTTTCCTCACATATCCTTACCACGATCTTATCTAAATTAGATACAAAAAATCTTAGTAAAATATATATGGGGAGGAAAGAAACCTCAAATAAGCTTCAAAGTTTTGAAAAGAGATATAAATAAAAGAGGATTGGGTTTCCCAGACATAAAATAAATGCCATGATGCAGCAATGATGTAGCATCTGCTTAAATGGCTTAGAGTGGAGAAAAAACATTAAATATGGTATAAATGCAAGTCTTGGTGTTAGGAAAGGAAGACCTATCCCTTCTATTGTCTTCAGCTTTGAATAAAAGAAAAACTTAGTGTTTTTAAAATATAATCTAATAATTTATAGTCTTTTTGGTTTTTGGAGGAAATGAAAAAAAAGCTAGATATCTAATGTTTTGTTCTTCCCGACACCCCGATAGACTTCTTAGAAGACAATATCCCAGATTTAGATATTAAACAATGCAACCAAAATGGCATATGTATATATAGGCAGAAGAATAATAATAAAGAAGAGAGGTGAAGGTCTAGGATAGGGGCTTAACAGAGCTCCACATCCTGTTCCTTAGCTAAGATGGTCACCTAGACTGGGAAAATGGGGGTAACCCAAAGTAATGTATAAATATAGAGGAAAATCCCAGTCCAATCAAGAAAAAGGTCTTGAAAGAAAATAACAAAAATAATAAATAATAAAGATTTTAATATTTTATTTCAAGACCTTTTTCTAGATTGGACTGGGATTTTAATCTAGTGGTCACTCTCTATGAGTTTTTCCTCTATATATATATATATAGGCAACTATGGAAAGATGGTAAAGTTAAAGATTTTCCCCAACTTAGGCTCGAGTTCTCCCTTCTAAATAGAGAAATTTTTACCTATTTAAGAATAAGAGGCTTTTTACTAAAAGAAAGCAAGAAGGCTATTGATATAAAAAAAAGCCATTTATTATTAGAAGAAATAACGATCAGAAGAATTTAAAAAAAAAAGACCTACTAGAGTTACCCTATGATTATTTGATAAAATCTAAAGCCCTCATTAGCTGGGAGAGAGAGCTTGCACATGAAATAGATATAAACAACTGGTTTAGTACAATGCCATATCTTAAAAAATCCATACATTCACACTACAAAAATATCAAAAATATCTAGCATACCACATCATCATAGCCGTCCTAACTGTCATAAGCAGACAATGGAAAAAAAACCACTCCCCCTACAATCGCCCACTGTATCACAGTAGTAGAAACAAACATAAGCTACGAAAAGATGGCACGAAAAAATAGACAAATGAATCCTCACTGGACCAAAGCATGGGACACGCAAAAACCCATACAGACATAAACAGAATAGAACCACCGACAGTAACACGGACTTCCTAGACTGGAAGCAACACAACCCCCCCCCCTTCCCCACCACCACACATAATGCACACCGGAATGAGAAGCGACAGGGTACAACCGGGGCAAACCCTATGCCACTAGGAAACACCCATCCAAGCCACTGACATCAAACATTGAAACAACAACATTCATCACCCACGCAACTCTACAAGCAGGTATACTGTAGACAAATGACGCTCAACAAGCATCAATCATTGACAGACCAACAGGGAGACTATAAAAGGGATTGTGCAATAATTTGTAACATATTTTGTAACATCTGGTTAACTAGTATCTCCCTGCGCAAGATTATCAATGTTAAACAATGTTCTTACTGACTTATATGCTCCCCCCTCCCACCCACCCATCCATCTTTTTCCTTTCTGTACCCACTCCCTATATATGCTAAAGAAAATAAAAATTCTCAAATTTAAAAAATTTTTTTAAAAAATCCATACTTTGCTTAAATCTGTTAGAAATACAGTATAAAATCATGCATAGATGGCACTTAGTGCCAGAAAAACTACATAAGATGTATGAGAACTGTCCATCCTCCTGCTGGAGATGTAAGTCAGAGACTGGTTCCTATACCCATGTCTGGTGGACCTGTCCTAGGTTGGATAAATACTGGGATTTGGTCACTTCAATTTTAGAAAATCTTGAGATTAGGGGAATCTTACTTATTGCATTTAAATTTGCCTAACTTAAATAAATTGCATAAATACTTGGCTTTACATATATTAATAGCAGCAAAAATCTTAATTGCTCGAAGATGGAAAACCCAAGAAGTCCCTACATGGCATTCATTAAAAGACCAAATAAAAAAGTTAACACAAGGGGAAAATTATATTTTAGCAGAGGATGCCTTTAAATACTGGGAACCACAGGGGTGACTTGATAAAATAAGTGTGCAAGATAAGAAATAATTTATAAGAAATTTATCCCTGAAATACAACTATTATTTACTTATATTAAGCTCCCAAACAAATTGAAATCCACATGGCATCACCCACCTAGGATTGTATTGTATTGTATTTTTGTACTATATGTTTATTGTCTTTTCATTTTTATATTTTGTATGTTTTTTGATACTCACAAAATAAAAAAATAAAATAAACTGGGACAATGGTGAGTTGGTCTACAAGGGTTGTGTCAGTGACACTTGAAGAGGTAGGCTGAAAAGGGCCCATCCCAAAAAGTATGTCAGCCTTGAGTAAATGTATGCAAAGCTGAATGCCAATGACTCTAGCCAGCACCAGTCAGGTCTGCATATGCACAAAGTGATATTAGCTCATGGGCTAAATGCCCTGCGTTCAGTTTGCAAAGTGAAACCATGTCTAATGATTTATTCGCGCGGAGTGTAATTTAGACTTGGTATCCTGTCTAGATGAGAGACACCATTCAATCTATCCCATCAAATCTGGAACGGATATGGGATATGGGAATGATGGACACAAGTGAATTTCGGATCTGTAACGGATAAAATAAGAGAGAGTGCAGAGTACTCAGAAAAAGTATTTAGTTGTGTTGACAGCCGAGCCCTACCCAAAGGTCACATGGACATTTAGGATGCAAACAGTTGTGCCCTGTGTCTAAGAGGAAACTAGCATAAAAAATTGTAATCATATCAAAGTATTTTACTAGGATGGAAACATTTCAATGTTTCTCCTTTTTCCATATCTAATTGTAGCATGTAGAATAAATTAGATCACCAATGCTGTGTCAGTGAAGCTCAATCAAATTTCACAAGGTCTAGTCAGGGCCTGCGAGTTGATCCTTATAAATGGAAATTATTTAAATGCAATTCTGATTCAGTTATGCATTGAAAGCCGTAACAAAAAACGCTTTTATTCTACAAGGCAATTAGGAAATCAGAAGATTTTTGTTTTCTACAGCATTCATGTTATCACACATGGTTTAAGAGTGTTAACATCACTTAAATAGCATGCAGTGTTTTAGAAATTAAAAATATAATTTTGCTTATTTACAGATAACTAATCCAAGTTATAATTAGGACAGTGATAAAGAAAAGGGCAGAGGGGGTTCCCGAGATTAACATAATCAGAAACGAATTACAAACATAACAATACAAGGATATGAAGTGATCCCAAAAGTCATAATTAATCGTGGTTTGCAATTACATAAAAAAATACTTAGCTAGCTGCAGAGCAGAGAAGTCACATGACGATTTAAGCTAATTATCACCCTTATCAGACCAACAAAATTGTCCAAAATAGCTGCAAATACCGGACAGAGGTTGGGGAACCAGCATGGGTCGGAAGTCCAAAAAGCAGAAGCCCGACCAGCCGAGACAAAGCCTCGATATCGGAGCCATGTGGAGACAAGCTCATGGAGCAACTAGGCCTAAGATGGCCGACTACACAGAGACATACTCTGAACTATCGGATGACTTGTCCCTGGGGGAGGACACACCCGGCTTAACGGCTGTAGCCAAACCCCTGGACCCTGACACTGCACCGGTCACTTCGTCAGTGCTCAAAGCACTATTGGCAGACCTCCAATCCATGATCCATGTGGACATGACTACCCTTTCGAACAGACCTCCAAGGAATAACGGGGAGGCTGGGTGCCCTGGAAGACACCTCCGCTGCACATGATACCCACATTACCGCCATGCAACAGGAGATCAAGGGTTTGCAGAGCAAGAATGAGGAATTCGAATGGCGGTTTGCCACCCTGGAGAACGCACGTCGGGCAGCCAACCTAAAAGTATGGGGAGTACCTGATGACATGCCGGCAGATGAATTACCACACTTTGTGCAAAAGCTCCTGACGGAACTGCTATCGCAGCAACAGGCCAAAGCCATATGCCTAGAGGGCATCTTCAGAGTCCCAAAACCATCAAAAGCCCCAGCGGCGCCCCCCCCCCCCGTGATCTCATAATAAGTTTCCAACAAAAGAAAGATAAAGTTGCAACCCTGTCAGTGGTCAAGGACTGTGCTCAATATACGTTCGAAGAGATGTCTCTCTCATTTTTTGCGGACTTAACTGGCGGCACTTTGGCCCGGAGCAGGTCGTTAAAGACATTCACCACGCTTCTCAGGCAACAGGGCACACCATACAGATGGTGCCTCAACCACTCCCTACTCGTCCTGAAGGGTGAGGACAAACATGAGGTCTATAACCTACAAGGCGCACAGGACCTGTTACTTACGCTTGGACTGTCTCGGGATGCTATGCGCTGCACAGCGCCCCCAGTGTCACATCCTGTTCCTAGCTGCGGATCATTCTGGCAATGGCTTCTAGTATCCAGTACTCTTTTTACAATTCTTGTTTAGTTTTTCTTGGTTTTCTGGTTTTCTATTCTATGTCTGGTTTTCTTTATGCTGGGTTTCTGGGTTCATTCTTATATTTCGTCCCTGGATTTCCCAGTCTCTTTTATTCATTTAAATGTTTGTTTTATGTTGCCACACCCATTTGTTTTCCATTTTCCTTTTGTTTTGGACCTGCAGCAGTGTTTCAAGTCTCTGCCCTTTCTTGCAGGTAAGTGCTATTGTGGTTTAGTATGGTTCTTTTAGCGAACATTAGGCAGTGTAGGACCTGCCGAATATGGGGTACATTGGCATTGTGGCAGGCTTATGCAATGTATGATCATATAATGTAACTAAATCCCCATACTTTTCATATATAGTGCTTAGTTATGTCTCCTCTTGTTTTACCTTGTATCTCTTGTCTTGTTTTATTTTGTCTTGTATTTCCAGTTCATGTACAGTCCTGTCCTGCCCTGTTCTTGTTTTCCTCATGTCTTGTGTACATGTTCTGGGTTATGCTTTCTGTCCTGCTCTGGTTCTGGGTTCTCCTAGTTCTGTCTTGTTTTCATGTTTGGTGCCTGTTCCAGCCTTGCCTTGTTTCTGTACTGGATACATTCTTGCTGCAGAGCCTCCCTATTTAGTTCCTGGGATATCCAATCCTAGTTCCTGGGATCCTTATAAGCTGAATCAGGGTTCTGGTATGTGGCCGCGCAAACGCTGGTGCTCAACACCAGGGGGCGTGCGGTTACCCTGCACCAGACCCTGCTAATCCACCTTCACACTGTGACTCCTACTCTGAACATCAGGCATACTGGGTCCCGGTCCTCGCACCGCCGCCCAGACACTGTCTGGGTCCTGGGCACCGGACCGCCACCCTGACACCCAGAAACCACCGGACCGCAGCATAGATGGGACCTGGAGAGAGTCACGGCCTTCGTGCCACGACAGCCCAGACATGGCTCCTCCGATGCAGCCAGCACATGAAGGCCTCCAGGGACTTGATAACTGCGGCCAGTTACTGTCGGGACTGTATAGCCATAACTCCACGGCACCTCAGTTAATTTTTTTGTTCTTTATTCTTTATTAAGACAAGAGAAAGCAATGAACGTTCTCTGCTCCTACCACATATTATGTTTGTTTTTCGATATGTTTCAAATTCCTATCTTCCCCCTCCCCCATCTGCTCTAAGAATTTACAGGAAGACACACGAAACATAAAAGTAGAAGGACGGGTAACACTTTACACCTAGCAGCTAGGTACATAACAGGCCAGCCAACTAGCTACACAAATACGGCGGGGGAATGTACAGTACATAGCCTACCCCACCTACTCTTAGTACAGCTCATTAACACTATAGTCAAGTCCACTCTATAGCCCTCGCGCTTGCTCTAGATGCGCAGAATAAGCCACTAAGCGTAACACATAGATTCTATGCGCTTATTTTGAAGCCAAAGTTATACCCATGTTTACCTCTAAATAAATTAAAATGTGCAATTTTTTGACTCCATGTATACACAGGGTGTGTGACAGTGTGGCCCTGTAGTTTTAAGCCTGCAGTGTAAAACATTCCATTGCAGGGTTAACACACTTCTAGTGGTTGTCTTCCAGAACATCCACTTTCCTGTTAAGGACTAAAATCAATTGCCAATGAAATGCTGCTCCCAGGCATGCACACTGGCCTCTCAATGCCTTCCTATTGGGAAGCATTCAATGGCTGAGATCATAAAGATTGCAGCACGGCAAGGGACACCTAAGCATCTACAGGACACTATAGCATTAGGAATACATGTTTATATTCCTAACGCTATAGTGTTTCTTTAATGATTAATGTTATTTTCAAATATGTGTATATGTTTGCCTATATGCAACCAAGAGAAATTAAAATATTAATATAAATTCCATTTTGGAAATGTTCATATTATGTTTTTTTCATCTATTTGGTTACACCATTGGACATTAAAGTGCAAGGTTG